AATAATATTAATAATAATAATAATAATAATAATAATACAGACGCGGGATTTCTGAAGTAAAAAAAAAACCGGGAAGCCTCTCAGTCTCTCATTAAATGCTTCCGCTCAAGTTATCCCCTGCAGCAAAAACAAGTTGACATCGAGTGACAACCAATGATTTTCTCATCTTTTGGGTCACGACGCGGTGGTGTGTGTGTGTGACTCTAAAGATAGATAGATAGATAGATAGATAGATAGATAGATAGATAGATAGATAGATAGATAGATAGAGAGAGAGAGAGAGAGATAGAGAGATAGAGAGAGAGAGAGCTAGAGAGAGAGCAAGAGAGAGAGCTAGAGAGAGAGCTAGAGAGAGAGCTAGAGAGAGAGACAGAGAGAACGAGAGACAGAGAGAGACAGAGAGAGACAGAGACAGAGGGGGGGGGTGTAAGTGTGCCTGTGTATTTGGGAGGTTAATTAACCTTTAATGATTTGTATTGTTATTCTCTTCTGTTTGCATGCATTTAACGGAAAATTTTGCGACATTGTATCGGTATTGTGCCTCTTGCAACGGTGCAGCTATTTAAGAGGTGGTCCCTACAAATTTAGCATCTATCCCTGATAGAGCCGAGCCAAGTGAAAAAATTTGCGTAAAGTGCCTTTCCCAATGAAGCATCTTTTGACCGAGATAAGCCTCGAATTCCCGAATCCGCAGTCTCATGACTACGATTCAACTATCCTTTGGTCTTACATCTTCTTAAACTCTTCAAAAGACGAAGTTACAATTAATCAAGACGTCCTTAAAGTAAGCGTTATTGCGCTCGATACCGATTGAAATGAAGGAGAAATACATTGAAGCTTAGTTTACGCCCAACTTCAATACGGTAGCCTAACCACGAGACGACTGATGCCAATTTTTTTCGTCGGCTATCTGAAAGTGTGTACTTACAAATACAATATTATAAAAGTATATACACATGCACATACGACCTTACATACCTGATGGTATAGCGAGAGAGTAAGTAAGTATACGAGAACTTATGAGCCCCATTTGTGAAGAAAGTTTTAACATTTGAAGTTGTAAACAGTTGGGGTGTTTGTGTGTGTATTTCGTGTGTGTGTGTGCGTGTGTGTGTGTGTGTGTGTGTGTGTGTGTGTATGTGTGTGTGTGTGCGTTCGTTTGTATGTGCGTCTGTGTGTGCGTGTGCAAGTACGTCTGTATTCGTGTAATTGAGTGAGTATGTGTTTATGCGAATGTGTAGATGCCCATGTGTGTGTGTGATTGTGTGTGTGTGTGTGTGTGTGTGTGTGTGTGTGTGTGTGTGTGTGTGTGTACGTGTACATACATACATACATACAAACACACACATACACAAACATATTATCTATCTGTCTATCTATCTATCTATCTATCTATCTATCTATCTATCTATCTAGATAGATGTGACAAAATATCGTATAGACATATATAACATATATATGGAAAACCCAATAAGGGGGTTCAACGGGCCCTATCTATCTCCTGCTATCTCTGGGCTCATCACTATTTCCCACTGCGAGTTCGGTGCTCCCATGGATTTCAATTCTATTTCTTGTCCGCATGATTATGATTTTTGCTCCTAGCGTTTGAACGTGATTTATGAGAGCGTCAACAACCGAATTCCGCAATAAGTTAACGCCCACGCAATACACCCCTCTTCAATACCCCATGGGCCCTACAACTTAGGGTCCTACCTCTCCTTCTCCCCTTCCTAACAAATCACATTGCCTCCTCCCCTGTGCACGCATATCCATTTCCTTGTATCAATATTGTTTCATTTCCCCTTCACTTCATCTTTTGATCTCACAAACTATGCTGCCATTGTGGCATCAGTGCATCATCATCATCATCATCATCATCATCATCATCATCATCATCATCATCATCATCATCATCATCATCATCATCATCATCATCATCAAGAGCAACATATTCAGCAGCAGTTACTAGTAGGCTAACTACAACAACGAGCAACGACAAAAATAAAGAGAAAAAATTACATTCCAGTGAGCTAAAGAAGGAAACAGCAGAGTTGTCATCTTTAGTTCCACTTAAGAGAGGACGACGGGTCGATGAAATAATATTACATAAGGAATAGCATTTATATACGACGCAATTTCCAGCACAAAATTAAACTCTATGAGCTTTACAATCCATATTATTACCCCAGCAGACCTGATAGCATTCTAAACTATCTCAACCTTTCTCCTGGGAAATGTACAGTACTCATGTGCTACTATATGGTATCGAATGAGCGCCCCCCCCCCCCCCCCCACGCTTATTAATTTTCAGGGTTTTTTTGCGCACCCCCGTCCTTATTTCATAACCCCCGTTGTTTATTATGTTCCAGCTTGCCACGACCGACGATCTTCTGAAACATTATATCTATAATCTTAATATCTGAAAGAAACTTTTTTTTTGGTAAATGGCAAATTACCCTCGGTATTAATGCAGTGGCGGTACCGGGTTGGCTACTTCATTTTTCTGTGCAGTTTGAAAACTTTTGTACATTGGTTTATATATTTTTTTAATGAAATTGGTTTGTTCCTAAATGGGAAAAGTTGTCGCAGTAACTTACTAAAACCTCGTAAAACAGATTTATTCCTACTAAAGTACAGGGGTACGGGATTGAAAGTGCCACCCCCCCCCCCTTTCATCACACACACCCCCCATGACCTTACATATATATTGAGTTAGAAAAATTTTATCCACACCCCCTAAAACTAAAAACAGTTGATCCCCGCCCCCCAGCCAGAAAGACGGCCCATTACTTGCTAAAAAAAAAAATGAAATCTGGAAAACACTCTTCCAACAACCAAATATATTTTTGTTTTCTAGTGTGAGGGAGGGGGGTAATCGTTGGCGAGGGTTCATTTTGAACATAAAGGAGAGAAATATGGGTGGCGAGGAAAATACCATATGCCAAAAAAATAGTAGAAAGACGGGGGTGCACATG